TTAATATTAAATATAGCCTTTGAGCCTCTAGGCTTATATTATATTATAATTGGTCTTATATTGGTTATATCTAATTGGTTATATTGGTCTTAGTGGAAAACCAGCATGGATGAAGACATCTATTGATCAAGCCAAGGATTGTTTACACAAGAGTACAGTCGAGAGAAAGCCTGGAATTCATCTAGTCTTTGATCGCTGTGATTTACCAGTTTTACTGAATCAAGCAATAAGGCACTCAGGTATCTGTTTTTTTACACAGTTTCAGACAACATCCTAATTGGCAAGGTGTCCTTCAAATAAATCGTATCATACACAAGCACCAAAGACCAATAAATTACATATCTCTCACAGATGAGTACCAGTCATCAACCAAGAATGTAATAGTCATATACAGAGATGTGTTTCTCAATGGAATGGAAGTGGACCACCTAAGGAATTCCTATGAAGAAGCAGACACGACGATTATCCTCTATTGATGGAGCTACTTATGCCTCAGTATTCCATTAAAAACACCAACTCTTCAGTTAGATATCATTGTACTAAATCTCTGTGTGTTGTTCAGCAGAATAACATATTTTAAAATACTTGTCAGATATTCGTGAATATAATCAAACATACATGTTGAGGACTTAAACACTGATGATGAGTAAGACACCAGTGATGCAAATATAGACACTAGATATTGCTACATGTTATTGTTCTAATACTGGGTTTCATACATAAAAGCACACTGGCAGTAGTTAAATGTGATTAAGTGAATTCTTTTTAAATCCTTGTAGCTTTCTTCTGCAATCAAATTACTGACAGTCTTAAGAACATGTTTAAGTTCTAAAAGTAACTTTTAGAAAATGACAAAATTATTATCACGAAATTAGACAGACATAATATTTTGTCAAAGATTTGAGACAGCAGATACCACACTAGTACTGCCCTGTCCACCCTGAATTTGCATCTAATCTAAAGAGTTGCAAGTATGCTGGAGCCCCCAGTGGCACAGCGGTATGTTGCGTACTTATACCACTAGAAACCGGGTTTCAATACCCGTGGTGAACAGAGCACAGATAGCCTTTTGTGTAACTTTGTACTTAATAACAAACAACAACAACAACAGTATGACGGATTGAGTCGACATATCATGAAAAAAGTTCATTGGGTGATTTTTTTCGTTTGCTATTAAGCACAGGGTTAAACAATAATCTATCTGCGCTGTGCCTACCACGGGTTTCAAAACCCTAATTTTAGCGTCATAAGCCCTCAGACGTACTGCTGAGACACTGAGGGGCTCACTGGATGAGACATTAATGATATGAGATATTTCAACGCCTACTCGCACTCAGGTCTATTATGATTTATACAATGAAGAAATAAAAGTATTAATGTGAAAGATAAACATGTGAACACAACTGATCTTTTTCCAATTTATGCACAATTTGAAACGTGTTGTAAAAGTAACCACAAATTTGACATTAAATCCATTATCCAGGAAATAAAATCACTGGTTGCTTCAAATGGTTGGATCTGGAAAACACGTTTTATATGACTATATTGTCTCTAAGTGAAGAGTGGGTGTAGAATCATGATGGGGGTTTATTTCACTTGGTTTGTATTTCACCACTGATAACAGTAGGAGAGCCAGGAAATGTTTTGAATATTGTTACGTATTTTAGACAATTCCGAACTATTCACACTGATGAAAATCTATGGATAAGGATCATACTGTTTATTTTAGAATGCAAACGAAACATGCCATGTCCAATAGTACTTGAGAAAATAACGTCCAATATCTACTTTGGCTATATCTGTTTCAACATCCATATAAATACTGAGGATGATTGTATAACGGAACTAGGTACTTAAAAATTGTATATAAGTTGTAAATAATTGTTAAATGGAGAAGAACGATGGAGGGCTTCACCACAACATGTGGATTTAGTTATCGTTACCAAGGTTTGTCTGAAGCCTCATTGAAATGTAGATAAGAACAATTATGTCATTTGTTTGTTTGTTTGTAATTAAGCACAAAGCTACACAATGGGCTATCTGTGCCCTGCCCACCACAGGTATCGAAACCCGGATTCTAGCGTTGTAAGTCCACAGACATACCGCTGTGCCACTGGGGGCCAATTATGTCATAAATTGAGAAGAAATAGAAATTTCAAAGTTATATATCTATAACAAATTTTTTTTATTACATTAGGAATCGTAGGCTTTTTTCAATGGACTTAAAAAAAAAACAGATGTATATCAATCAACTGAAATTATAAACTTGAAACTCTTCCGCAAATTATAAAGTTAAAAATATGCTATTTTAATTTTCACATTTTTTAAATCTTGGAATCTGACAGATTTTTTTTTAGTTAATATTAAATTGTTTTGAATTATATTTATTTGTTTTCTTTCTCACCCAAATTTGTCAACTGCATTACGCAGAACGTATCTTCATGTAGATCGATATCTCTGCCTTGCCGACAGTTTCGTAATCATGATCTGATCTTTCTCTTCAGTGATTCGATATCTGGCACCCAATTAAATTCGTTCTTTCACAACACTTGGTTTCAGCAGCCTGTATCTTTCACTCTCTTAGCACGTGCTGTCTCACGTGGCGGCTGTCGTTATGGTGATACTTCGCGGAACGAATTGAATGTAAGTAAATTTTTAGTGAACTTTGAACACCTGATTTTCGTGTCGATCAACCGTTTACCTGATTCCTAACAATTAGTATTGTAAGTATCAAATTATAAATGCTTTGTTTCTGTTAAATACTGAAAATTTGTCTAAACTTGTAAAATTAAAGCACCTGTTTAGTTGTGTTTTATGGTGATGAATTGAACTATATCAGTGTTAATGTCAGATGGTAAGATATTTAAGCGTAAAATAATAACTAATTAAAATAAATTATCTTCATACTTAAATTAACTATGCCAAAATGAACCAAGGAAAACTGTAATTTGTGTAACAACTTATGCAGACTTAATAGATGTCTGTTGGAGTTAATCGATTGTGATATATTTCATAGACATGGTATTTTAACTAGTAGATTTTATAAATTTCAGATCGATTTTCTGCATATTGTTATGTATTGACGGTTTGCATTTGGAAACATTAGGACAACTCATGACAATGTCTCAGTTGAATTATCCATTTTCAATACAATTTAGCATAGCTGTACAAGCATTACTTCAAGAGTGTCTTAATCATCAGAGTAAAGAGAAATAATGGATTAATTATAATAATTACGTGCCAAATAGAATGATGTCTGCAAATGGCACGAGAGATCGTGCCGCAAAGAAGCACGTTCTACTGGGGTTTTAGGGTTCACAATATGCAGTTGTGATATTTAAACCCCGCTTGTTAGTGCTCAGTATAGTGTAAACTAAACATGTGAGTGTATATTTAGAAAACAAACAATTACTCTAAAGTCAAATATTTGATAGCGTACATAAGAACGATGTTAATAGCGTGTTGTTTTAGAAGACACGAGTGAGTGGGGAACAACCACCTTTATATACTATTTACAGAGTCTGCAGGAACAGTTAAATATAGAACTTACATTTACCATGTAAAATGTAATGCAATGGAATATTTTATTTATTCAAAGCAACAATTTGAAGCTTCTGTGACTAGGAATGTTAATACACGAATTACAACGACAAGGAACATGTGACCTGACAAAAAGTGGAAAATGAAGGTTGCGAAGGGTATCATATTTATGAAAAAACCGCTCTTTACAGACTTTTAAAAATTACAGCATTCTTCAAATTGGATTTATAATTATTACTTACCAACTACTCAGAAAGCTAAAGAATCAAGTTAATCCGATCCCGACTCTTTAAAACAACAG